TGGAAATAGTTGCATTAAAACAGATATAGATTTGCGTTTGTAACATTTATTCATCTAACGATTGATTACAGCAATAAATTGCAATACATCAAAATCTCATTACGTATCGCTTCCTGTTTGTTTGCCATGGATTCTTCAACAAAGGCTCTATTAGTAAACCTTTTAAATCGTTTTTTTTTACTTTACTATTCATCTTTGAACTTGTAAGCGTTCAAAAGTCTTTTGATAAGAAACTTTCTCTTATCAATAGCGGCTTTTATTGCTTCTTCTGGATCAAAATCATCGTTTTCAACAAATGCATCATTTGTGTTCATTATTTTCTTATGTATCGGGTCTTTCTTAAGTTGTCTTATCTTACGTAGGATGTTCGAGAAAGCTTCCCCTTTGGCAGAGTGCTCATCTAAACCACTGTTTATAAGGCTTTCTTGCATTTCTTCGAAAGCTGTATTACTTCTTTGCTTTGCTTCTTGTATAAGCGGCATGCATGGATCCATCTTTTCTTCAGATTCTGAATCAATCAGACTCCTGACTGGAAGCGGTCGAGACATCGTGTCAGAGTTTCGGGCCAAAAGGCCACAAAAATAGCTCGCACAGCCGGCCACAGGATCCAACCTTGGCGAGATTATTCATGAGTTGGATGCATGGGGCTCCCATTGCCACCTTTGTTAAATGGCCGAGTTTCGGGCCACAAGGCCACGAAAATAGCCCGCTAAGGGCCTTCGGGCCATTTTCGCACAATAACCGATATGAAACAATGTCTGATATGAAATATCACACAATAACAGATATGAAACAGATATGGGTCGCATAAAAGGCCCTACAGGCCCGAAACTATGACATTTAACAGCGTGGCACTCACCCCCAGAGTCACACAATTTTGTGCAATAAGCAGATAAGCATGCAGATTGCTCATAACTGCTCGCGAGAGCATGCTTATCTGCTCATTGAGATGTTTTGATTGATAATAATTTAATGGGATGAGCAGATGAGCACATGCTCAAAACTGCTCATGAAGATTTGCTGATCGCGGTTAGTAAAGTGCATTGCTGTTTTAGGATTGAAAGTAATGTCGGTAATTAGTGCAATGAGCATATGAGCACATGCTCACAACTGCTCATGAGGATTCGCTCATCTGCTCATAAAACTGCGTTGCTGCTCAATAACCAGGTATTTCTACACTGCCCGTCCAAGGGAAATGAGCTGCCAATTTTGCGGAAGCCACTTTAGCCGCGGCTTCAATCTGCGCCAGCGGCGTAGCCAGAACGATAATTGGGGGGGTCCATATTCATATATTCGTGATACGCAGGATTAATTTCTTTTCAAATCAATTGTCTTTAGAGTCTGTTTACATGAATATATGAATATGGACCCCCCCCAATTATCGATGCTGGCGACGCCAGTGATCTGCGCAGACACGAACAGGAATACTGTTCACTACGAGAGCAAGAAAGAAACATGTCTCAAACAGACTCTGACAGCGAAGGTGGAGATTTCCAAGACGATGTCTCGATCGCTTCCAGTCATGAATCTGAAAGTTCGACAACGATTGATTCAGAATCTGAAGAAAAGATGGATCCATGGATGCCGCTTATAGAAGAAGCAAAGCAAGAAAGTAATAGAGCTTTCGGAGAAATGCAAGAAAGCCGTATAAACAGTGGTTCAGATGAGCACTCTGCTAAAGGGGAAAGTTTTCTCGAACATCATGCGTAAAATTCAGAAAGAATTAGAAAATATTTATTGGAAGCGCCTTTTGTGGAGACAACTATATAAGAAAATAATCGACATAAAAGATGCGTTTGTTGAAAACGATGATTATTGATAAGAAAAAGTTTCTTATTAACAGACTTTTGAACGATTGCAAGTTCGAAGATGAATAGTGAAATAAAGAAAGCAATTGTTAAAAAAAATAAATGTTAAAAACGCAAATCTATATCTGTTTTAATCCAACTGTTTCTTGCGTTCAAGCCCCATCTGAAATAGAACATTTGTACTCAAATTTAGTTTTGTAATTTGGTACTTTATATAGTGTGCTGTTTGCTGTGAAGTATTTCCACATTTTCCCGTAAGTATACGATTACATCTTTTGACGACTGATGCTTTCGTTTCATTCTGCGTTGTAAAGAACCGAATACATTACATAAACTTTATTTAGACACGATAATCATGCAACATTCAGTTCTTCATGAGGTTGGTTTGAAATGCCTTGTTCTTTTAGAAAGGTTTGAAATTTCCTGTTGGTAAACTTCGTACTTCATCCGAGTGAAAAGTTTCAGGTGTGCCAGATGATTTTTAGAATTTTCTCAAACGTACTGACTAGATTTCCCCCCGTCCTTGTTTTTATCGGTTCAACCCACGCATACTTGCTAAGTAGGTGTTAAAATGTATTTCTTCTTTTTAACGGTGAAAATGTATTTGTTGTTATTATTATACTTTGCTACCCGTCTCCAAGGCCAAACTGACATTTCATCGAGACATTTTCGTTTCTAATTGGTTAGCATGATTATGATCATGACCAGGGCACAGGTCTGGAGTGAGATCGAACACAAACCGTTTGCATATTCTTCACGAGTTATAGCATTGCCCTGATTTTCAAGGACGTCATTTTCTCCTTCGATTTCAATTTTCGCACGCAACAGTTTAACCCGTGCTTGCGCTTTGGTTTCGGTAGCTCTAATCTGTCACCGCATTGCCAGAAATTACATGCAAAACTGTCCTCATCAGTTAGCTCAAATGTTTCCTGGAATATATTAAGGGCAGCTTTGGTCTCGCACTCAGGAATCATTTCAAGGATCTATAAATAAAAAAATGAAAATCTTGAGCACAAGGCACACGAAAATCAAGTACGATTTTGAAAGAAAGAAACATTAAAACAAAAGCAAACATTTTCACTTACAGATCAAGATATCTTTGAAATATTCAAAAATCTCATAAAAAAATCGCAAAACGATTGGAACATTAATTTGCTAACAGGATGCTAACGGAATTACTCGTACTGAAAACAGTTAACGAATGAAGAGAAAGCCACGCTGAAGTTCCCATACAATGCGTCGTTTCGCCTGAGCTTTGCCGCCAAATCTTGCCGCTAGAACATGGCCGCTTTAATGACCCTTGTCATTGTGCTATACCATGTGCTATACAAAATTCCCGTTTGAAACCTTGCCGCTTGACCCTGAGAATATCGGTTGAAAGGGATAATCAAATTTGACGAAGTAAAACTGGCGACTAGTTGGATGGAAACCACGATTGTATTTAACTTGGATGGCAACCACGATTGATTTTATTCTGTAGCTGACCAAGTGAATTCGTCTTAAACAAGGTACTGTTATTCGAACGATTTCAATTAATTATAGCCTCAGGTGAAGTAAATCACATTCAACTCCACCAAGATTTAATGACTGTAAACATGGAAAAGCATATTGCCCAGACCTACATCTTATATTTTAAGGTAATAAATATTAGTGCCATTACTTATTTCAATTATATTTATAGTAACAAGAATAGACGCGAAAAAAATCGCGTTGTTTGCGACAGAAATAGATTAACTTAAAGTTGTTATCAACACATAATAAACTCCTGAAAGAGTGGAAACGAGAGTCGGATCTAAGTCGGGTTGAATAATTAATCCCCGAGCCGGTGGGAAGCACCGGGCGAGGGTACTAATTCCGCCTGGAGATTTTAATCACGCCCGGGAATGCAAATGCAAAATGAAAGTTGTCCGCCATTATGTCATGGACGTTGGGCGTTTTTGTAAGTTATGCGCATGCGTGAGTGTAAGACGAGTAAAAACTGGTAACTAGCAAACGTTTACAAACGTGCGATTGGCTAAATTAAAATTTGGGGTCACGTCAACATAACAGATATTTTGAATTATAAAACTTTTTTTAAATAATATTTTGATGGTCTTAAAAATATACAAAAAATTGACTCGTAAAATTGATTAAAATATAATGTAAAAGATGCCTTCGGATAGAAAAATTTTCATTCAAATGGATGGTTAAAAATCTACGATTTTGAAGAGTTTTTAAAGTGTTTTTGAACAGGTAAATGGGTAGATTTTGTATTTTAAAGCATACAAGTATTTTTTAAGTTTAATATGTGGATTTATCAACAAATGTATGACACCTCTTTGAATTTATTCGTCAATTTCGTTGAAATGATTTTGATTTGGAAAGTATTTATTTTTAAAGGTGAATTTGTTTAAACAGTAATTGAAATTTCGCTAAAAATTGTAGTATTTACAACTATTCCTAGAACAATTACGATTATAGTCGAATTTGATAGCTCGAGAGTCGACTTCATAATTGTACCATGATAGGATTTTACTTTACGACTTCGATCATTCCGCAGAAACGAGTATTATAGAATTTCAGTGATAGAAATATAAATTTATTGCTTCAGGCGAGGGGACTTTGCATGCAATGTATTTCTAGTTAGGGTTAAGGTCTAAAAGGAGCAAGGCAATTATTTCGCCAGGAATACATAACGATGCGGCCGGCCTTTGCATACTAATTACTTTCAGCAGTCCTTTGCATACTAATTGCTTCCGTCCCTGAAGGGGTGGGGGTATCACTACTGTGACGCCTCTTAATACACGGGTGTTTCTTATATATATATATATATATATATATATATATATATATATATATATATATATATATATATATATATATATATATAATATATATATATATATAATATATATATATATATATATATATATATATATATATATATATATATATATATATATATATATATATATATATATATAGTGTCTATACACGAAGAGTGCATGAAAACTCTTTTCCGCTATAGGCCTCGCAATTAACAGCCCACGAGGTGCAGGGACACTAGCGCATACAGTACCTTAAACGGGTGAAACATAAATTTGGCAGTAAAACTCTTACCAACTGACAGTGTGTTTTTAAAATATGTCTGCTGTGGCTTCCATTGAGTTTAGATTTATTCCAAGATTGCTTCTGTTGTTTTTTAAATTTTAGATCCTCTCTGACAAGCAGCCATGGGAGCTTATCGGAAGCTCGGGACGCTGGTTTTCGGTTTCATATTGTACGTTGCCGACGTCGGCTCCGACATCTACGTCGCAATTCAGTATTATAAAGAAGGTCTGATTGCCCCATTTATAACAACCGTTGTTTTCACAGCCCTTCCCGTGTTCATCGTCAATATCTTCGCGACGTACAGCCTAAAAAAAGGACACGTAACTTTGAAATTTGCCAGCTGCTTCGTTCACTTGGCCATGGTGCATCTGTTTATCGAGGAATTATACAGATGGAAAGAGGACAGCGAACATTCACACAACGGCAAACACTTTTCAAAATGCAAATGCGCGGATTGTGTAAACCGTTTTAAAAGTAGCTCTAAGGCAACATTAGACTCCACGTTAGTGCGTTATATGGAAGCATTCGCCGAATCGGCACCCCAGTGTTGTTTCCAAGTTATTGTGATGCGCAATAGTGGTGGTACACTTCCTTGGTACAGGATTGCTTCAATTTCCATATCATTCTTTTCCATTTTATGGAGCATTTATTTGCTCGAGAAAGCGTACTGGGTCAACCGAAGAGTCGAAATGGATTTGAGACCGGCAACTTACCCTAAAAAGTCGGCTTTTGTATTTGTTCTTTGGCAATTGCTTCTTTTGCTTGCAAGATGTCTCACAGTTGCTATACTACCGCCCAATTACTTTGTAATTATTTTCCTCATACTTATCCACTACATTGCCATTTTTCACCTGATGTATTGGTTTTTCCGTAACAGTTCATGTCGAACACGATGCATCGTCAGCGTTTCGAGCTTTGTTACATCGTATCCCTGGCATTTCCACCTTTCAACATCAGGCCTAGAAGTACCAAACAAGTGCTTCCATACAGAAGAAGACGTTGTCAAAATTAGGAAATTTATACGATATGCGCTGATTTTGGTGCCCTTTTTGTTTGCTCTCGAAGGCACCATCTTGATTCTCTTTTTCTCGGAATTACCGGAAACGAAGATGTATGATGCTTTAAAAATTTTGGGTGGAACCATTTTGCCAGCATACGTTATGTCCCTGATTTACTACCACTCACGTTGTCATCCCTTCACCAGAATTTCGCAAGTTAGGCCCATTGTCGTAAAACGCGGCATTATCAACGTTCAACCAATAAACGACGATGAATAGCCGGTATCGCGATTCTGTTGACGCCATCTGAGGCCGGTTTGTTTTTGAAAGCTGGGTAGAGCTATCTACCAGATAGTGATCTTTCCAACCTTTGTGAACGTGCTTGAAACAATGAAGGTGTAGATTTAGAGCTAACGGTTATGAGAAAGAACCCCCAATTTAAAATCTAAGGTTTAATCAAGGTTATGCTAAACAGCAGGCATGTTCCAGCGATGGTAGAAACCACTACCTTATTCTCTAGAGGGGGAGGTTTAATTGAGAGCACCGACCACCGAAAATTTTAAGATGTTCCGTAAGTTCAACTGTTTGAACTTACTGAACACAATACTATCGACCGCAATACTAAAGTATACTACAACAACGAGTACTTCGGCAGATAAAAAATCGCTCGAATAGACGTGTTTTTTGAGTTTACAAAGAGAGCAGGTTAATAATGAGTATACCGTATCCGGTATCTGGTGAATAGCTCTATCCAGCTTTCATACAACCGACCACCTACGTTGGGTAGTTCAACTGAATCCAGAAACCGACTGTAAAATATAGATTAAGTAATTCTTGTATATCGTTTTTTCTTCCGGTTGGAATAATTAAATTACTCATTTACTTCCTGTAAATCAGCCGGACGGAAAGCGGGCCACCATTAGGAGGACCGTGTATAGTTCGCTCAATGCCAATGGCTCGCACATATTGCTTGAAATTTTGGCGATAAAGTAGAGAAAAATTAGAAAAGTAGAGTAGAGTATTGAATAGCTGTCGGGTAAGTTAAGTTTTTCCTGTCTGTGATAAAAGGGAACATATTATTTATATCGTATTGCGATCATAAAGTGTACATGCACATATGTGAGTGAACTGGATATTGCATATTATTGTATTTATTGTAGCTATATAGTGTGTGAATAATTCATGTATATTAATTTTACAGTTCTAAAGAACGGTGCATCATTTCCTATAGATGTAGGAAGTGTTCTATTTAAAAAATAGTTATTTTGATGGATTTAAAATTTCGTTTTTTGTTGCTCGCTGTGTTTTTAATAGCGTATATTAATAGCGTATCGTTATCAAATTTTCTGTCAGAGATCGAGATAAATATACGAAATCTATCAAACTAATAAGCATTTGGTACTAACCATTGCTCTTTAAAGGCAAACAAAGATATCGTGACAAGCGAATCTGGTGTTGTGTGAACGGGCCGATAGTTGTTTCCAGAAACAATGTACAGATAACATGCAGCGATAACTGCGCGAACAACCGACAAAATAAAACTAGCAGAAATTATCTATACTATAGCTAAAGTACGGTGTTTATTTTGTGCCTTATTGTGCTCTTATTGTACTCTCCTCATGGATGGTTTTACTTTGATGAGAGCTACTGTAATTTTTCTGCTCTTAGCCCACAAAATGTGCTCAACCTCAGGAAAACTAGAGTTTTTATTGAGGGGGCCTCATAGGAATATATATGTATATATATATATATATATATATATATATATATATATATATATATATATATATATATATATATATATATTATATATATATATTATATATATAATATATATATATATATATATATATATATATATATATATATATATATATATATATATATATATATACACCCATTTGCAAAAACGTTGGCCGCAGATAGATAGATAGATAGATACTCGAAGTCTAATTAGAATTGCATATGATTACATTTGCATGGGATTTCTATAATATTACACAACATATGCAATTCTAATTAGATCTCGAGTATCTATCTATCTATCTGCGGCCAACGTTTTTGCAAATGGGTGTATGCATTACTTGACCACAGCATGCGAGAAATTTGTCCTTTCCTCATTCAGTGCATGGAAGATTTCAATCTTATTTCTCACAAAGTTTTCATGGCAGTATTTCCACTCAAATAGGAACTTGATTTTCAGTGTTTTACGTTGGATCTTTCCTCTTATTAATCAGTAATAACAATGTCACACTCATTTGAATGAGTGTGAGTGCATGTGAGTGAGCTTTTTGAATTCATCCGATAGTCATTTAATAGCCCATTTCACAAACGAAAAAAATGAAAAAGCTGAAAACAGCTTCCGATGGTTTACGAATATTCGAGTACTCGGCGATGAAGATGATGATGACATAAAGGAATTTGGTTCGAAAATTGTTTTGTTAAGAACTTTATAAAATAGTGAAAAAAAACTTCGATCAAACTCGGACTTCCATTTAGGTTAAAATGTTTATTTATCATGAAGGGGATAAAGAAACATTTGGTGCATATATCCTCTTTAGCCTATAGGTATAGGTTAAAATCCTAGGATCACTCCATAAACAACCTTTATACCCGCGATGTCAGAATAAAACGCGACAAAACTGATCGATGTTCATGCATGTATTCATTTAATATAGCATTTGCTTCCGTTTCAGCCTTTTGATTGTAATTTAACTTAAACATAAAGTGGAACAAACGGTTTGTTTACAATTTGGAATTGCATATCCTTTTTAAAACAGCTATACAGGTTTTAGGACAATTTAGCTTCGTTACGCTTCTAAATCAGTATGAAAAAGTGGAAATATAAATTAATTTAAGAAAGATAATTGAAGAAGGAAAGGCTTTATCCCAAATTAAGGAACTAATTCCAAGATAGAATTCGAATAATCATATCACGTACACAACGGTCAATTCAAGCACTCTGAATTACTATCATTTTTTTCTCATTGTCACGAAGTATCTTAATTTTGTGTAGTGCTAAGTACAGGTATTTCCATTATTTGCCCATATTCCCACCCTGTGAGTGTCGAAATTATAAATATGCTTACTTTCATTATTCGAAGTTAGTCAAGTTACCCTTCTAATGTTTTATAGGCAATACGTTTTATAGCTTCAATAATCCGTAATAGAGAAAGGATAACATGTATAATTATTGTGATGTTCAAGATAAGCTATGCACAGATTAATTTGTATGTTTATGATAATAATAGTGGTAATTACTTAACTATTTAACACCTAAGAGAGCATACAAGTTATTTTAGTTATTTTAAATTCATGCGGCGAATCTATCCAAAGATTTACATGCAGTGCAGATAAAATGCAAAACCAAATTTGTAATGAAAAATTCTCAGCCTGCATGTATGGGCTTTCATGATAATACATTAAGATACCTCTTCGTACAGAGTTTCGCTATTAACTTTGTTTTCCGGCTCGTTATTCTTATTCAATGAAGCATACGCCTTGACGTCTTCGTAAGGATCGCTGTGAAGCTGTTCGTAATCACCATCTATCAAACTCTGATAATTATCATCAATAGATTCCCTTTTCGAATGGTCCAGTGCTTCATACAGGCCATCAGGTTTGGGAGCATCTGAAGACTTTCCGGATGGTTTCGTGGCAACTTCTATGTCTCCCACGTCTGCTTCAAAAGCAGCATTTTTGATGTCAGGAATGTCTTCAGTATTTTTCTCTTTTCGTTTTCGTCGAAAAAAGTAGCAAGCTACGACGGATACGACTATAACTATAACAACCACGCCAACCACCACACCAACAATAACGCCGATGTTACTGACTGATGAAGATTCTTCACTGGATGAGCCTGGTTCAAGTACACAAAAAACCAGAATCATGAATTTAGTTGAAATATTTACACGATTTCCCAATCAAATACGAGGTTACGCAATAACTATGATAATTATATAAATCATTTAAATGATAGTTATGAAATCAACGATTGAATAGATGCATAAGGTTGGATTCTGTTCATGATTTTTACTGGTATAAAATTAAATATGTTGCTAGATTTGTAAGCTTTTGTAACAGGAAAGGGCTGGGCTGCTTTCGAATCAATTCGCGAGCTGTGAAACAAAGATTTTCACCAATAGGACCTCATCAAAAAACGCACAGAAATATGCAGTGTTTTGTAGAAATTGTGTACAGCTTCGTTCAATTGTAAAATGAAGAAATGGTTTGTTTTTGTGATTTCATTCAATTAAAATTCAAACGGCGGAGGTTCCACTTTTAGGACGTCTCTTTATATAGTTTGGTACAAACGGAAAATATTCGCAACACGCGGGCATTGCATTTCTTATAATTGATCAATTAAGCAGGAAGTTAAAATGAAATATCTGGAATTTAGTTTAGCAACGAATTCATTAAATACTATGAAAACATTTCAGTTATACCTGTACAGCTGTTTCCATGGCTCTCAAACTCCTCGTGGCAAGTACATTTATACGAACCAGCGATATTTGTACAATTTGCATTTACGTCGCAAGGATTTGATTGGCATTCATTGACGTCTAAAGAAAATTGATTTATCGATCATGAATTACGTTTGATTAGCATTAGACATTCCTGTCTTATACCTGTGCAATTATCTCCATTTCCTTCATATCCGGTTTGGCAATCACAAATGTATGAACCATCAGTGTTGGTACAATTCGCATTAAAATCACAAGGAACTGCCTCGCATTCATCCACATCTACAAAATAATGCATTAACACATTTTTTTTTCTGGATTAAAATCTTTATTAATAATTTTCCGAAAGTTCACATCGTTATTGAAATATGACGATATGGCTGATGCGACATTATAAATTTTCGACCGAAGCTCAATTAACATTAACATGATTGTTTTCCGTGCAGACTGTGCAACGCGAGATAACGGATGCATACCATACGTTGAATAACGCATTCATTAAAATTCTCATGTTGGCTATTGTCGGTCATCACTTAAGAATAAAGTGCTTTGTTATTTTCAATAGATTTCCTTCGTCACCGGTCACAAACAATCCATCGCCGACTGTTGGCGACATATCAGAACCAGGCCTATACAGGGTGTCTAAAAAAATTGCAACCCACTTAATATTCAAATATGTTCGCTTCTATTCCATAACAAAAGATCGTAGGTCCCTGGGAATTATTAGGGTTGCGCGTTTTTGGCATACCCTGTATGATAAACGCGTTTGTCTACATTTCAGCTTTAGACAAATCAGCAAAATCTAAAACCTAAATTTCAGAGCTGATATGGTCCTAAACAAAGGTAGTGGCGGGCCAGGATTTTCTTTTTCTTTTAAATTTTAACACGACAGGCTTAAGCTATAGAAATCATTTGAAACCAGGACTGGAATGTGTTTTACATTACACGAATGTAATGTCAAAAAATATATTTTGAGCTGGAAAGTAGTTTAACCAGAACCTTTATACGACTAAGAATATTTTCGAGTTAGCCCTTTTTTTTTGCTGCATGCTCATGCAATAGACACTTCCATAATATGCTTGACCGCACACAAAACAATATACAGGGTGTATCAAAAAAAATGTCCCAGATGTAAAATTTCCGTTTTTCAGGATATTTGGCAGAATTTGGCAAATATTTGTGTTCCTAGAGATAGTTAAGACTTATCTGGTATACCTAGGCCAAGTTTGGTTTTTCATTACAAAAATTATGTTACCGGGGGGGGGGGTGTTCCTTTCCCCTGATATTGAGAGGGCTTGCGCGCGAAAATGTGAAGCTGAAATTGAGATATTATTTAGCTGTCTAAAAGTAGGAAAGCTTTTTAATAAACCGTAAAAGTTTCAGGAAAAATAATGCATACTGGGAGCAACGCACGACCCCTAAAGGTGACAAATATTTTATTGTGCGCAGTGGATTAAATGCATCATGAATAAATTAAAGCGAGAAACTGAACACAAAAACAAAGCGATTTATTCGTGATGTTAATCCTCAGCATGTCCACCATTTCATTCTAAGCAAACTGCGGCTTGTCTGAGCATACTAAACACTGAACAGCGAACCATTTGTCTGCCCATTCGCCTAGATTTGCCGGTGGTAGCGTAGGAGATTTGCAAGAGAGAATTTCGAACGAAATGGATAATTTGAGGCAGGACAGACAAATGTGGTTCGCCGTTCAGTGTTTACCATGCTCAGACGAGCCGCAGTTTGCTTAGAAAGAAATGGTGGAAATGTTGAGGATTAACATCAAGAATAAAAATCTTGTTATTAAATCGCTTCGTCTTCTTGTTCAGTTTCTCGCTTTAATTTAATCATTTGCCCAGCCTTGCATGAGATCGGTCACGCGAAAATCAACGATGCATTTAATCCACCGCGCGCAATGAAATATTTGTCACTTTTAGGGGTCGCGCGTTGCTCCCAGTTTGCATTATTTTTCCTGAAACTTTGACAGTTTATTAAAAAGCTTTCCTACTTTTAGACAGCTAAATAATATCTCAATTTTAGCTTCACATTCTCGCGCGCAAGCCCTCTCAATATCAGGGGAAAGGAACCATCCCCCCGGTAGCATAATTTTGTTAATGAAAAACCAAACTTGGCCTAGGTATACCGGATAAGTCTTAACTATCTCTAGGAACACAAATATTTGCCAAATTCTGCCAAATATCCTGAAAAACGGAAATTTTACATTTGGGACATTTTTTTTTATACACCCTGTAGTTTGAAAACGGAGAGGGCATGAATTCTTTTGTTAGTGAGATTGTTTTCATTGCCTGAGAACAAATTAGTGAAGTTCATGCAATCCGTATTCTACCTAATGGCTCTTTTTAGTGATCTCTCCAGAAAATTAAGACTGGTATAGGAAACACATCGACAAATGACTACACGCTTGCGAGCAATGCAGCAAAAGTTATTTTATTGATATGGTCAACTTTTTAATTTAGGTCAATAAAGTTTTTTTAAGATTTCTCTTCTAAGATATAATAGTGTACTTCGAAATAAATTCTAAATTGTCTGGTAGTGAATTAAATTAGCCTGCACGAAATGATAAATTTGACTGCCAGCTTCATTTTTAACCACGGGGTTTTCCAGGTCTGTCAGACACGATCTCGTAATATCACTTCGTTGAGAAGTTTTCAAGCAGTTATAATTCGTAATAACTTCGAAATAAATTGATAGAGGGAGCTCTATTATGGGGTAGCGCGTAGCATATTTCATCACTTCCTTCATCATGAGCTTATTAATTGTTGAATGAAGTAAATAAACAAATAAATCCAGGAATGCTTCATTTTTGTATTACCTGTGCAATTATCTCCATTTCCTTCATATCCGGTTTGACAATCACAAATGTATGAGCCGTCAGTGTTTGTGCAATTTGCATTGAAACCACAAGGAACTGTCTGGCATTCATCCATGTCTACAATTGGGTATTGAAAAGCAATGGCAATGAAGGTTTTTGCCTTCTAGGATTACACCGTGCACCACAGAGTGGCGTAACGGAAGGAAATCATAGGCAAACCGGTTCAACTGCTCTGCATGTAAACACAGGTGATAAAAAACAACTAATTTGAAATTGATTGTCTCAGATTCGTCTCCTTTTGATAAATTCTATTGGGTGAAACAACGAAAAAATAACCAAGTTTTTTGTTATTTTAACCAAAAGGAAGTTGGTTCAATAAATGAATCTGATGTAAAATATTATTTGTGTATAATAGAAAGTACATAAGCTATTGTAGTATAGACACGTTTTCTTTGTAATCTGTTGTGGGATGGACCACGAAGAAAATCTCGTTGTGCTGGGCAATAGGTCCGCCACCTTAATTTCTGTATTTGCTGGAATTTTGAAACGGTCTGCGGAAAGCTTTTCTCATGTATGATTTCTTATATCGACCTTTTATCTTATCAATATTTTGGTATGATAATATGGCATAATGATCGAATCTCTATACTTTCAATTAATTTTGACTAGTACTCTAACCTGTACAGTTTGTCCCATTTCCTTGATATCCAATGTTACATTCACACAGGTATGAACCATCAGTATTGGTGCAGTTTACATTGAGACCACAAGAAACTGCTTCACATTCATTAATATCTGTGTGCATGTAAGACAATTAGGTTGAAGAAAATTTAGGTTAATATTTTGTCATTCATTTAAATTTTTCATTCTATATGCGTCTCAAGAATGCCTCAAGCCACGCTACGCCCGTGAACATGTGATCCGCTAATTCCTAGTCTGGAATTCATTTTCTGGTGTTTGATGCACAGTGATATGATAATCCATCTGTGTTCTTTCGGATGGCATTAATAATGGTAATTGCACTGAGTGGAGTGCAATTTGGTGTGAAATCAAACGCGTGATTACAAAATCACACGACCGCGAAGCGGGAGTTTGATTTCACACCAAAATTGCACGACACAAAGTGCAATTTCCACTTTATTACATTCATGTTGAGGTCATACAAAAGATTAAACAAATTCAAAACGATTTATTGGCTAAAAAAACCGCAAACGGTGTAAAATGTGAGTAATTTTTATTTATTTTTGTCAAAAAATTTTGCGGGGCATTCAAAAATTCAAAATAATAAAATGTTGTTCTATTTTCCCCTGTAATTTGATTGGATAGTTACACCGAAATACTAAATCTCATTGGTAATTGTGGTGCAGAGCTTCAATCTTATTGGCTTATAAATGATGTGAGTAATGCTCAAAAATAGTGCGATTTGGGAATTAATCACACTATTTTTGACCAATCAGATTGCAAGAAACACCATTGATTTCAAAATGAATATAATAAAAAGGATAATACGCATTTATCATTATAGGCTATCAGAAATTAACGTTTATTATTATTTTCAACTATAATCTGCCTGCTTCTCTAAGATTAAAAAAATGTTTTCTTACCGCCGCAATCGAATCCATCTCCACTATATCCAGAATCACAAGTGCAGATAAAAGAGTCATTTGTAATATTGCAGGTTGCATTTGAGTGACATGGCAAAAATAATTGGCATTCGTTTAATTCTGCAATAATAATTTTAATTTACTCGTTGAATATTGTTGATATGCATAAAAATATCGCAGGCTCGCGACATTAGAGAGGTTAAGATACCCTGGTTTCGGTATACGGGTACCGGTAGGCATATTTTGTTCATTAGACTTTCTTGTCGTTTTTACATTTCATGATACAAAACATGCTTGCCTCAAGAGGCAAATTATAATGTTATTAATAACCTCCCAAAATAGACTTGCGCAAAAAAGTACTCTTTCCAAACACACCTGAACCACACTGAGTAAAAATAGGGACTGTGTTGCACAAGCTGTCAAGACGAACCATTGCTCTGTCGTGCTTGAGAATGTCGATTTGAACCCTTTGGGAATTGGATTTCGAATTTGTTGATGTATTTTAAAGTACTTGCGTTGGCACCAAATTTCTCTAAACTTTGACAGCTTGTGCAACACAGTCCATATTTTGACTCAGTGTAATTAAATTGTGTTTGCAATAATAACAACTTTCCTGCGAGTGAAAAAGCTTGCATCATAAATAGTTTTAGTGCTAGCTGTGCCAGAGAACGTTAAAGTACTGAAGGTTACGCGCACATCTTATCTTAGAGAGCGTTCTCAAAGAGTATACTTTTTATACACATTATATTACCCTATTCTTCGCGTGTACAAAATAAAATAACACACCCTTGTTTTCAAATTTAGCCTTAAGGATGCTTTCTATGCACTGTCACGCTTTTTGCACGTACGTACACGCACGTAAAATTTAAAAACGTTCTAAGCTGTTGTACAATAATTGTAAACTTTTACGGGGGTGAACGTTCGTGCAAAAAATGCGAGAGCGGAAAGCAGCCATTAAATCCCTCATATAGTTTACATTACGCCTATACACCTTACTAAAAGATACGAACACAATACAAATCACATAATACTCATTGCAGAGCTAGTACGGATTTCAAATAAAAAATCTTCGCCGTTATTCAGTCATACTCACAAAAATATCTATATTTACCGTTAACTTTTAAAACTTATGAAAACACAAAAATGTATAGGTTGTCTTACCTGTACATTTTTGTCCATCTCCAGTATAAGCATAATCACATGTGCAAATATAAGATCCATCTGTGTTATTGCACGTAGCATTGGAATGACATGGCGGAGATGTTACGCATTCGTCAACATCTAAAAAGGCAGTTTTAGGGATTTTAATGTTCTACTTGCAGCCTTCGTTTCACAATCAAATGCAAATATAAGATCCATCTGTGTTAGCATTGGAATGACAAAGGGGAGATGTTACGCATTCGTCAACAACTAAAATGACAGTTGTAGCATTTTCATTTTTCCGCACACTATTTTTTGTCAAATATTTGTTAAAACATTTCCCCGTTGTCTTACCTGTGCAATTAAATCCATCTCCAGTGTAACCAGAATTACATGTGCAGAAATAAGATCCATCTGTGTTATTGCACGTAGCATTCGAATGACATGGCGGAGATGTTATGCATTCGTCAATATCTGAAATGGTGGTTTTTACCAATTTCATAATTCCATTTACTGTTTCATTTTTCAAATTTCTGGTAAAAATTATATACGTTCTCCTACCTGTGCAATCAAATCCATCTCCAGTATATCCAGAATCACATGTGCAAATATAAGATCCATCTGTGTTATTGCACGTAGCATTGGAATGACATGGGGGAGATACTACGCATTCGTCAACATCTGAAATGGTAGTTGCAGCATATTCATTTTTCTATTTACTGTTTTTTACTCAATCATATGTTAAAAAAATATTTCCAATGTAGAAAACCTGTGCAATTAAATCCATCTCCAGTATATCCAGCATCACATGTGCAAATATAAGATCCATCTGTGTTATTGCACGTAGCATTGGAATGACATGGGGAAGATACTACGCATTCGTCAACATCTAAAATGACAGTTGTAACATTTTAATTTTTCCATCCACTATTTTTTTATTTAAACATTTGTTAAAACATTTCCCCGTTGTCTTACCTGTGCAATTAAATCCATCTCCAGTATATCCAGAAACACACGTGCAAATATAAGATCCATCTGTGTTATTGCACGTAGCATTGGAATGACATGGGGTAGATGTTAAGCATTCGTCAACATCTGAAATGACAGTTCAGCATTTTCATTTTTCATTTACTATTTCTAACATAAAATTATTTTGAAAATATTATTTCCGTTGTATAACCTGTGCAGTTAAATCCATCTCCAGAATATCCAGAATTACATGAGCAAATATAAGATCCATCTGTGTTATTGCACGTAGCATTGGAATGACATGGGGAAGATGTTACGCATTCGTCAACATCTGAAATGGTAGTGGTAGCACTCTCATCTCTCCATCCACTTTTTTTTCTCAAATATTTTTTAAAGATTTCCCCGTTGTCTTACCTGTGCAGTTAAATCCATCTCCAGTATATCCAGAATCACATGTGCAAATATAAGATCCATCTGTGTTATTGCACGTAGCATTGGAATGACATGGGGGAGATTTCAGGCATTCGTCAAAATCTAAAATGACAGTTGTACCATTTTCATTTTTCCATCCACTATTTTTTTCTCAAATATTTGATAAAACATTTCCCCGTTGTCTTACCTGTGCAGTTAAACCCGTTTCCTGTATATCCGGAATTACAAGTGCAAATATAAGATCCGCCTGTGTTATTGCACGTAGCATTTGAATGACATGGGGAAGATGTTACGCATTCGTCAACATCTGAAATGGTAGTTGTAGCATTTTTATTTTTCCATCCTTATTTTGTTCTCAAATATTTGTTAAAACATTTCCCCGTTGTCTTACCTGTGCAATTAAATCCATCTCCAGTATATCCAGAATCACATGTGCATATATAAGATCCATCTGTGTTATTGCACGTAGCATTGGAATGACATGGGAGAGATGTTACGCATTCGTCAACATCTAAAAGGGCAGTTTTAGGGATTTTAATTTTCTACTTGCAATCTTTGTTTCACAGTCAAATACAAATATAAGATCCATCTGTGTTAGCATTGGAATAACAAAGAGGAGATGTTACGCATTCGTCAACATCTAAAATAACAGTTGCAGCATTTTCATTTTTCCACGCACTATTTTTTTTCAAATATTTGTTAAAACATTTCCCCGTTGTCTTACCTGTGCAATTAAATCCATCTCTAGTATATCCAGAATTGCATGTGCAGATATAAGATGCATCTGTGTTATTGCACGTAGCATTCGAATGACATGGCAGAGATGTTACGCATTCGTCAACATCTGAAATGGTGGTTTTTACCAATTTCATAATTCCATTTACTGTTTCATTTCTCAAATTTCTGGTAAAAATTATATACGTTCTCCTACCTGTGCAGTTAATTCCGTCTCCAGTATATCCAGAATCACATGTGCAGATATAAGATCCATCTGTGTTATTGCACGTAGCATTGGAATGACATGGGGTAGATGTTAAGCATTCGTCAACATCTGAAATAACAGTTCAGCATTTTCATTTTTCATTTACTATTTCTAACATAAAATTATTTTGAAAATATTATTTCCGTTGTATAACCTGTGCAGTTAAATCCATCTCCAGAATATCCAGAATTACATGAGCAAATATAAGATCCATCTGTGTTATTGCACGTAGCATTGGAATGACATGGGGAAGATGTTACGCATTCGTCAACATCTAAAATGACAGTTGTACCATTTTCATTTTTCCATCCACTATTTTTTTCTCAAATATTTGATGAAACATTTCCCCGTTGTCTTACCTGTGCAGTTAAACCCGTTTCCTGTATATCCGGAATTACAAGTGCAAATATAAGATCCGCCTGTGTTATTGCAGGTAGCATTCAAATGACATGGGGATGATGTTTGGCATTCGTCAACATCTGAAATGGTAGTTTTTACGAATTTCATAATTCCATTTACTTTTTCACTTCCCAAATTTCTGGTAAAAATTGTTTACGTTCTCTTACCTGTGCAATTAAATCCATCTCCAGTATATCCAGAATTACATGAGCAAATATAAGATCCATCTGTGTTATTGCACGTAGCATTGGAATGACATGGGGGAGATGATACGCATTCGTCAACATCTGAAATGGTATTTGTAGCATTTTCATTTTTCCATCCCCTATTTTGTTCTTAAATATTTGTTAAAACATCTCCCCGTTGTCTTACCTGTGCAATTAAATCCATCTCCAGTATATCCAGAATCACATGTGCAAATATAAGATCCATCTGTGTTATTGCACGTAGCATTGGAATGACATGGCAGAGATGTTACGCATTCGTCAACATCTAAAAGGGCAGTTTTAGGGATTTTAACTTTCTACTTGCAATCTTCGTTGCACAATCAATTGCAAATATATAAGATGCATCTGTGTTAGCATTGGAATGACATGGGGGAGATGTTACGCATTCGTCAACATCTAAAATGACAGTTGTAGCATTTTCATTTTTCCACGCACCATTTTTTGTCAAATATTTGTTAAAACATTTCCTCGTTGTCTTACCTGTGCAGTTAAACCCGTCTCCTGTATACCCAGTATTACATGTGCAAATATAAGATCCATCTGTGTTATTGCACGTAGCATTGGAATGACATGGCGGAGATGTTACGCATTCGTCAACATCTAAAATGGCATTGTGTGGCAAGGTGTAGCAAATACAAGCGTTTCAGCAGTTAATTATTAACTAAATGCTATTTCTAGTCTTCTCAAATTGAAAGTGGCTTTCGCGATAACGGGACCGTTTTAAGCTGTTTTGGCCCTATTGTCCTTGTCTCCATCCCAATGTTTCTCTTCTACTTCTATTCATTTTTTATTATGCTCCACTGTTTGTTGTAGCATCGATCTCTTCGCTTGCATCTTTAATAAATTGCTGCTCTATTCATGAACGAAACGGCCTCTTTATAGTAATAGTATCCTGATTTGCTTTAAACACTAATTAAAAATCATACTAAAATAATCAACGGACGTCCTGTTTCAGGACACACGAGTGATTTGATCCCTTCATAAATGTCCCGGCATTTCTGTAACAACAGAATAATCATATTGAATTAATATTTCAAAAATTATTTCTGTTGTCACTTAAGGTTTCGTTTAGTGATAATTTGAGATGCGTATACGTGACGACCCTAAAATAATAAAAGTCCGTAAGGGGAATTTGCCGACATGAGAGCGAAGCTTGAGAGATTCTTTAAAAACACATCAGAAGGTATGAAGGTCACCACAACCTCCTTGAGATTTTTGCTCTGCGATTTTTGCTCAGAGAAATCTGCCCTGTTGTTTAACATTTTTTTTTACCGAACAACTTGTGTCATTGCCTTTGTATCTCACATAACAAGTCCAGTCATACGAACCATCGTTATTGCTTATTGGTGCAATTCGCATTAACAACGCAAGGGCCTGCCAAATATTCATTGATATTGGTAAAAATACAAGTTGGTTTAAGATAGCCTGCGCGCACATAAACGTCTAGATCTGTGAATAAGTATAAGGCTCCCGCTACACTGCCCAAACTTGGGCATCGCGCTCTCATTGGCTTGCATCAAAGAAAAAATCGGAATCGAATTTTCAAAATCGCAATTATTAGCCAATCAGTGTTGACTATTCGGGTTAAAATAAACAATGGTGACCCAGGACGTAATGAAATAAAGCTGATTCTCCATCACGTCAGCGCGCATGCAGGCTAGTTTTGGAAGGCCGTGAAAATATGTATCGAATTTAATTTAAGATAGCGAATGACTCTTGTAAAGTTGTCACGACTTCATATCTAAGCGTTTTATTTAATGCCAAAATAATTGCAATTTAGTTTCTGTTTTTATACGACTCAGTGCAAAAAAATAACATTTCTATTCTTATTTAAGATTATTTTTTTGGCTTGGTTTAGAAATGGGTGTTCAGGAATCTAGTCTAGGGATTTAGTTGTTGACAACTATTTGCGATCGACAACTAAAAGTTATCGACAACTAAATAAGTACGATAATGGATTCCACACACTGGCGCTCAAATACAAAACTAAAACAAAAGTTTTCACACACTAGAAAAACGCCAAAAAATAAGGCAATCGACAACTACGCAGTTTCACTTTTCAAAAAGGGAAACTGCTTAGTTGTCGACAACTAATAATTTAGAGTT